ACACACACACACACACACACACACATATATATATATATATATAATGTAAATATTATACATTTATTAATATATTAATAAATATTAACAGATCAAATAAAGTGAAGATATGACTTAGGGAGGTGGTAAGATGGGGGTGATTGGAACATAAAAGCAGGTTGAGATGAAAGTATGGATTTAGGGAAAAGAAGTGCAGGGTTATCTAGACTGCAAAGATCTGAGTGACCACTAGTTAACAGCAAGAATTTGGCAAGTTATATTTCTTTGCTGCTTTCTGGTGCTTTTATGTTTTTGCAACCCCCCAAAATGACTTAAAAGTTACTGCAAAAGAGGTGTTAGGCAAGTCTCCTTGAGGAGAGCAGTCCGAAGTCAACATTTCTTAGCATATCTTAAATGGTAAGAAAAGTAAATTTTCAAATAATATTGACTCAGGCTGTCTCTACAGGCTAAATTCAGCAATAGGAAACAATCCAGAAGCTACAAAAGGAGATGAAAACATCAGTAGGTTGCTATTAGTTTGGTTTAGATCTAAAGTGGGCAAGAGTGCTTTGAATCCACATCTTCATAAGATGTTTTTATGGTGCTCACTCCCAGCCACTTTCTGGAAAACTCAAGTGATTGCAACACATTTATTGATTATGTGCCATTAAGTAGTTTTTGACTCCTAGCAACCATATAGATAGATTTTCTCCATAATGATCTATCCCTAACCTGTTCTTTCAGGTCGCATGAATGATGGTGCACTCATCACTATCTGAGTCCATCCACCTCTGGTTATCCTTTTCTTTCCTTCTACTTTTCCCAGCATCAGATCCTTTCCCAGGCTTCACATAATGTGTCTGAAGTAGAGTAATTTGAGCATGGTTAATTGTGCCTCCAGTGAGAACTTGGATTGATTTGTTCAATGAGCCATTGATTTGTTTTCTTGGCTGTCCATAATATTCTCAGGAGTCTTTTTCCAATACCAAAGTTCAAAAATGTCAATACCTCTTCCTATCCTGCTTTGTCAAAGTCCAGCTTGCATTTCTATGGAGTGTCATAGGGAATATATGGCTTGCAAGATTCTAATCTCTGTAGGTATAGACAGATCACAGGATTTGAACACGTTTTCTTCATGTTTACCAAATGCTTGTTTATTTGTTCCTTTATTGTTGATTGTTGATCCTAAAAGAAGCTTCCATCACCTCAGTATCTTTAGTCTCAATTCTGAGGGTGGTTTTTCCCGTTGTCATTAGCTTGCTCTCCTTTATATTTTAGTCCAGTTTTTTCCACAAAACTCATTGACGTTTAGTACTAGAGCTTACAGATACTTTGCATTTTCAGTTATCAGGGTAGTGTTATCAGCATATTTCAGGTTACTGATGTTTCTTTCTCCTATTTTAAAATCACGCTTATCTTCTTCCTATCCAGCTTCCCTTAATGTAGATTCTTCACATAGGTTGAATAAACAAGGAGAGAATATGCAATCTTGTCACATTCCTTTGCCAATCTAGAGCCAGCATATTTCACCATCTTCCATCTATACTGTAGCTTCCTGATCTGTATAGAACATGAGGATAATGAGAAGTTCTGGGATTTCCACTTTTCTGAGCACTTTCTATAGCTTGATGTAATCAACATAATCCAAGATTTTTCTATAATTGATGAGTTTTCTTTATTATTCTTTGGCTTTCTCAATTATCCAGATTGCATCAGTAATGTTTCATGTTCTTTGGCCATTTCTAAAGCTAGCTTGACCAACTGGTACTTCTTTTTCCAGGTAGGGCTCTAATCTGTGCTGAATGATCCCAAGCATTCTTTTGCTAGCATGTGAAGTTAAGAATGTTGCATGAGTTTACGTGCTCTGTTAAGTCTCTTTATCTTGGTATTGGAATGTAGATTGACTTCTTCCAATTTGTTGGCCATGGTGTTATTCTCTAGTTTTGCTGGCATGACTTGGTTAGAACTATCACTGGTTCTTCTTCTGTTGCTTGCTATATTTCAGTGGGATTCCATAAGTTTCTCTATTATCACGTTTTGACTTGATAATGGCCAGAGCACTGATCTAACATCTAGTAGTAGATGTTTTTGTAAATAAGGAATATTTTATAAGGTATTTCAGATGTTGAAATATTCTTCTATATAGTGTTTCAGTATACCCCTTCCAACTTCCTTTGATCTCCTTTGGTTTCTGGCTGTCCACTGACTTCTTTAGCACTACCAAATTGAGATTAGGACTTTCTTCTGAGTTCAGAAATCTTTTCAAAGACTTTTTTCCATCTCTAGTGTCTTGTGTCTTCTAACAGCTCTCTGAAAATCTTTGTTAAGCTCTTTTCTGAGGCTTTTTGTTGATCTTGGCTTTGGCTTCTCTACTTGGCAATTTCCACAGTTTGTTCTAACATCCAGTTTGCTTTCTTCTCTTTCTACATTTTGGCCGTCTCGTTTGACATTCATCCTTAATAACTTATTTGAACTTCATTCCATAATTCCTATGGTTCTCTATCAGTGAAGATCAAGATTTCAAAGTGATTTCTGATGTTCTTGAAAATGGTGAGTATATGTTCAAGTATATCATATTGTAGAAACTGATTAGCTTTCTTTTTTTTTCTTTAGCTTCATTTGGAATTTGCACACAAGCAGTTCATGATCTATTCCAAAGTTAGCAATTGGCCATGTCTTTAATGGCACAGTTGAGCTGCTTTTAGCAATAAAATAGTCAACTTGATTTCTATATACTATATATTCTATATATATTCTATATCTGGTGATGTCAATGTATAGAAGTGCTATTTTGGTGGTTTGAAGAGTGTTAGTTATATGAAGAAATAATTGGAGTGGTAGAACCTAATAAATTGATCCCCTGCTTCATTTTGGTTTCCTAAACCATATAATCCAATACATTTTCTTTTTTTCGCCATCTAGTCTCCAATCACAAGCGGCGTACATATTATTTGAATATTTTGTTGATTTCAAATTGGACTTGGAAATGAAACTCATTCACTTCCTCTTCTTTTGCATTGGTGGTTGGATCATAAACATGAATGTCCATGGAGATTTTCATCCAGGTCATAGTTGTCCCAAAGGTGCTTTTTTTTTTTTTTCAAGAGGCAACCAGATGTTCTTGTTTTTCTTTGAAGATGTTTCGCTTCTCATTCAAGAAGCTTCTTCAGCTCTGACTGGATTCCATTCCCCACCATCCACTCAGAGCTGAAGAAGTTCTTGTATGAGGAGCGAAACGTCTTCAAAGAAAATCAAGAAAGTCCAGTTGCCTCTGGGAGTGGGGGAATGCACCTTTGGGATATACATGAACGATTATCATATTAACCGGTTGTCCATGAAGTCTAATCAATATTATTTAATCATTGATTGCATTGTAGCCAAGCATTAAAAGTTGCTATATCTTTCCTAACTATCAAAGCAACACTGTTTTCTTCTTTGTTTTTCCATGTAATAAAAGATGGGATCTTTTGACTGAAATAGTCCCATCTCAAACCATCTCAGTTCTCTGATGCTGCAGATGTCAATTTGTAGTTGTTCCATTTCATCTTTCACTGTCTTGAGCTTTCCGGTGTTGAAGCTTCTTACATTCCCTGTTCCTATACTATAATGTTATCTTTGCGGCTTTACATTTCCTTTTCCTGTATGGCAACATTAGCAACTACATGTCTGGACGGCTTCATCGCAGTGATAATTACAGAATCCGTGTAATCGCTGATTCTTTTAGGGCAGAGTACTGCAAGCATGTGGGAACTAGAAATTCTCCAGGAGTTTGCATCTTTCATTATTTCACGTTGCAAGTATATTCGTTTAGAGACAGTTCAAAGTTACAACATTGCAAAGTGGCTTATGACTGTTTTTCACACTTACGGCCATTGCAGCATTGGTCACATAATCAAAATTCAGATGCTTGCAAGTGGTTCATGTTTATGATGGTTGCAGTGTCCTGGGGCCATATAATCCCCTTTTGCAACTTTCTGACCAGCAAAATGCGTGGGAAAGCCAGATTCACTTAACAAAATGGTGGCAAGGAAGGTCGTAAAATGGATCAAAACTCACTTAACAAAGGTCTCGCTTAGCAATGGAAATTTTGGGTTCAATTGTGTTTATAAGTCAAAGACTACTTACATTGGAATGTGAAGCAGGAGCTGTCAAATTTTTTGGATTGGTACTCGTCAGCCAAATAAATAAACCTCCACTAGGATGGACTCTGGGCAGTATAAATAAAGTGCTAAAATATAAAACAGTATATATAAAAGTTAAATATGTGTTTTATAGGTCTTCCTGTCTATCTTTTATCTGCCTGCCTACCTATCCATCTTATCTATCCATGCATCCATCTCTATAGATTGCTTTGAATACACCCCCTTTTGTAGAGAATACTGTTTTGGAGTATCACATGTTTTTCAATTCTTCTCTAGGGAAAAAAAAAGATTGAATACTATTTAAACTACAATTCAGTTTATTGGCCCTCATCCAATCCATTGCTGCACTCAGACATTGATTTGGCAGATCACCTGCAGAGTAAAAGTGGAGGTCACACAACCCCTGTAATGACGACATATTGATAATCAGTCATGTGAATAATAAGAATCAAGAGTCTCACATGAGCAGAAATTTACAGTAGTATGCATCATGGTCACAACAGACCCACAGAACTAATTAAAACGAACCATGAATTGAACCCAGATTAATGTTTAGGAAATAAATTTAATTTGAAAGATTTCATTTGAAAGATATTTGGATGTTGCATATTTTAGGATTCTTAATTTAAAATAGCAATTTCCTTCTAAATTCCCTTTTAAATTCAGGTGCTTGAAGTAAACATTGTGGAAATCTCTTTACCATCCTTTTAGAGTAGTCATAGTAGAACTTTTGTCAGGCTGTAATCTCCAATATTGATTATTTTTGCTGAAGCATAAATAAAACCCAACCATACATGAACAAATTAATTTACTTAGCAGAACTTGATGATTCTGTTTGAGATTGCTGTTTTGCTCTTGCTCAGATTTTATATTCCATTATCTTTTGGATTTTTCTTTAATAACACATCCATGCAAAGTGGGCAGAGCTTATTTAAAAGGGGTGGGGCTGTTCAAACTTGGCAAGACATGGTTAGGTTTCAAAGAGGAAATGTTTTTAAAGACCAAAATGATTAAAGAAGTCATTGTTTTCTCACGAGGTTAATAAGCAGGAGATGATCTGTATCCTTGGCAACTGAGAAAAGCCAGAGTTTCAGTGTTTGTCCCAGGGTTGAACAACTGCTAGAGTGGACTAATAAGTATACAGTATATTTTTGCATGCTGTCCATAGATTGTACAATCTTTAGTTAATTGATAATTTGGCCCTTTGATTTAATTTATAGAGATTTGGAAGGAAATAAATGTGAATGCAGAGTTAATAATCATGGTTAAAATGAAAACCATCTTTAATGTTCTCTTTCCCGCTCTCAGATACACACACACATCAACATATATAACATTTGAATAAAAGGACATTCCATAAATAAATCTCTAGTTTATTAAAACTATTGTCTAATTAAAAATGAAAATGGTCCTTTCTATCTCACTCATACTCATTCCATAGCAGAGCTACAGAAGTTAAATCATTCTGAGGCTGGTTTTATTATGTATCAGCTACACTACTATGCTTTTTTTATAAATGTATTTTTGTTAAATTTTAATTCTGTGTTACCGTTTCTAAAATCCCAATTTTGCATTCATTTATGAGATGTTTAGTTGGGCTCTCCAGGTTACGGTCTTTCATATATTTTGGAGTTATATGCTAATATATCTGGAAACCATTAAGAAAAACTGTTAAAGTTTTTTCAAGAAAGTAAGAAGATTATTACGGACAAAAACTCTTAAATTTATTTTCCTGGAAATGCTGGGACAGAATCAGAAAAAATAACTGCCACCATTCCAAATTCCAAGTTCTGCAATAAGAGGAAAAAGTTAAGAAAAGGGGAAACCTTATTATTCATATGATGGCCCATCTTTTAGAATTTTGCCAGACTGGAGAGAAGCAGTTTGAAAGGGTGCAGATTTCTCTATATCACACAAGTAAAATTCAGTGAACTTAACAGGATAGCTTGTAAGAATAGGCAACACTATACCATGGGAATAAGCCCTAGTTAATTTATTGGGGTTACGATATGAGTTGAAAATGTTTTTTCTTCCTTTTGGGCTGTTCAAAATTTTTCTTTGTTTTGATGTATGATCCAAATTGCATGATCCAAAGCCAGAATTAACAAAACATTTAGAAATCTTTTATAATATTCATTAAAACTCAATTTCATTGTTGTTTGGAGAGTGGCTTTTTTCTAGAATAGATGAAAGAAAACAAGCTTGCCTTAGAATGAGAATTTGTGTCTTAATGTAAGGATGGGTTACAAGGCATAGACATATGACATTGTCTGACATGGGATCCCAAATAGTTGCAGAATAAACTCTGCAATGAGAAGCTGCCCACAGGTCTTCCTTAGTAAGAAAATAACTCTGGTCTGATTGGCAGGAAGATCAGTTAAGAACAGATTTGAAAGAGATGGCCTTGATAGCACAGAGTGCTGTTGTAACTCCATATAAAGGTTGGTGCATTACTTCTTTCCTCCTTTGCTTCTGCAAACATTAAATCCTGCAGTTCCTTGTTGTATTGGTAAAGTTTATACTTGTTTTATTTTATTCTATTAAACTGATGAATAAAGGAAAAGGAATAAATTCATGTAATATAACTTCGTTAGCAACTCCATGTACTCCAAGTCTTCTTCCTTGCACCTTTGATGGTGGTGGGTGGGGAAACCTTATGCAAAAAATAAATCTCAACCATTCATTGATTCATATCAGGTGTAGGTTTTTTTTCCCCTTGGCAGTGTTCAATTATTGTTCTTTAACTAGTAGTCTCCATGCCTGAAAAACCTACAATTTTTGATGTTTTGATAGATGCCAGATACTGGGAATATAGCCAAGGAAACACATTGTTTGACTTCATTTTAAGATTGTAGCAAATTAATTTCATGTTCCTTAGAGCAGGGGTCCCCAACCACCGGTCCGCGGACCGGTACCGGTCCGCGGAACAAGTCCTACCGGGCCGCTGGCTTGCTGGGCGCCGCCATCTTTTTTTGATGAAAAAGTGCTTCCGGTGAGCTTTTCCAGGTAGAAAGCTCACCGGAAGCACGTTTTCATCAAAAAAAGATGGCGGCGCCCAGCTGATGCCGGTACCGGGCCGCGGCGCCCAGCTGATGCCGGTACCGGGCCGCGGCGTAAAAAAGGTTGGGGATCACTGCCTTAGAGCAACTCTTCACTGGTTAAAAGAAGACATTCAAGCTCATGCTTCCATTATTTTTGTAAATAATTTCAAATTTTGTCGCCTTCTGTGAAAGAGGCTGCCTAGTTTGGGATCCATGAGCCTTTCCTTTCCTCTTTCCTCTTAAATCCCATGCTGTAGAATAGGGGTGTCAAACTCAAGGCCCTTAGTAGAGTACTTAGATCAGGCCCACCTTTGAAATAGCGAAGGACCGGCCTGTGGTGCTACTGCCAGTGAAAACGGAGCTCAGG